ACACATATGGTTTACATGGTCACTTTGTGGTATCTAAGGGGTGCTGCAATCCTAGCTGGCTTCACAGCGTTTGATGAGCTTGCTGAGATTCTGAAGAACCTCAAGGGTGACTGCGCAGGTAGTGTTAAGGGTGAAGGTGCTTCACCCAAAAAGCTAGCGAAGCCAGCCAAGAAGGTGAAGGCACCGGCTCGCAAGAAAGAGGCGAAAGCCAAGGGCTCCAAGGGCTAGCTGGCAATATCACCATCATTTGCAAAGGGGTCAAACAATGGTAAGCAACCTCTTGTTATTGCACCAGATTTTGCAATCCTGGGTTCCACACTTACTCCTGCAAAGATGGTGTAGCAAGCTATAGTTATCCGGAGGTGGCTGAACAACTAGGCCAAAACCTCCCGTCTCCAACATTGGAAACACAGCGGCCAGCAATCGTAGTTATCAGAAATTGCTTTGTTGTGAACTGTTGGAGACCTTTTGTAAACCCTCGAGTGGACATGCTTGGGCACCTCAATCAAGTCCAAAAGGTTCACGAAGCAAGGATAGGGCCTGGCAGCGTACACGGATCCAATGGACAGGAATCGAAGACTTTGGATGGGCAGCGATTGGGAAGGGTTGGGCATGCTGTTGGAAAATTGGATCAGTGGTTCTTTGGCTTTCAGTGTTTAAAACGGAGCGCTGGTAGATGTTGCGTTGTTCGCTTCAATAGTGCGATGAACCCGAAGAAGCTGCTGCTGATCCTCACCGCACTGGGACAGATCCAACTACCTGCCCCTGACAGGGCAAATGACTTCGCTGCTTTGTTGATGACTAGCCTAGTTAATTATGCTTTTGGTGTGACGGTTTGACAATGAGTCCTATTTGTTGAACGATTCCAACATACATAAAACGAAATCACCCTCGGTCGACATCTCAGGTGGAAATATGCAGTGGTGAAGGGCAGTTGTCTCGGGCCCTGTGGTCACAAGGCCTTCAGGGCAAGGCCTTTGATGAAGCCAAGCTCAAACTTGAAATTGTGAGTTTCAGAATTGGTTTCTGAAAGTTCACATTGGTCAGGGTTGAAATGCTTTCCATGGCATAGTCCGTTGAGGCTTTGTTTTGGACAATTCCTGAGTCCCCCCCAAAAATTAAAAAAACCTGGGAGTCAGGAATTGGGACCCTTCGATGTCTTTTCTGGCTAAGATCCGGTACAGCAAGAACCACGACCTGCTACGATCAGTTGGATTCTTTGCAGTGCTGGCAGCAGTCTCTAGACTCAAATAGCATCTCAAGAATCTAGATCCCTGAGGCCCCTGTCATTCTCTCCTTCGCATCGCCCACTTGAGACAAAGCTGCTGTTGAGGTTCGGAATATGAAGCGAGGAGGTTTGCTGTTCTTTGCCCCCCCCGTGCAGTACGTGGGTCTTTCTGTGGCCAGACTGTAACCAGTGCCAACATGCCAAGATCAGAACGACCGATGAACCAGTTCTCATCCACAACACTCAGGAGTTCTCCATCAACTGGGAGGAGCTGGCTCAACCCGCGAGGATTTAACACTCGGTGTGTTAACCTCGCCAACATATTTGTCATGCGAATGCTATACATGTACCTCAGTTAAGATGAACTGGGTATGTCGATCTGCTAGTTTGATGTGATCATATGTGATCGATGTAATGAAATTGGAACTAAGTCTGTGGTATGCATGGTCGCGGGGTGTATTTTTCCTCATCGAGCAGCCTTTGAGTTCCGCCTTGGCCTTGACTATCCCGAAAAAGTTTTAAGTTGAGCGCTGGCATTCTGATATGTCCGTGTCATGGGCCGAGGTCCTATTCAATTGGGAACCAGTACGCAGGTTTCTGATCGCTGTACGAGCAAGGACTTTAGAAAACAAATATAACTGTGGAAAACCGACATGTGTCACATTCCGTTTTGTGGGTCCCAGTCCCACTCTGTGAGGAAAGTCACATTTCCCATGGGATCATTTGGCGCAAAAAACTTTGAAGTACACAACGATGCTGGGTTGCACGTATAGATGGAAGAATCCAGCTTACTTCTCCGAATAGCTCTTCCCAACATGGGGCCTGACATGTCAGGATCTGGAGCACACTTCCTAGTTTATCTCGCCTTCGTCGCCCGATTGATATCAAGCAGCTCAAGGCCGCCTTGGCAAGGACCGTGTGAGTGATTTTGAAAGCAAATGCTTGGGGTCTGACATATTACAGTATATTATCCACCCACCCTAGATTCTAGATCATTAGATTTGGTTGGCCCCATTGGCTTTGAGCTACGAGCAAATAGCTTACACACACTTGACTTCCACTACCCCCTGAAGAAACAGTGCCGACCTGGTGAAGAAGAGCATTGACAAATACGGGAAAAAGCGAGTGGTGTCTTGATCGAATGAACTTGGTTGCCACTGTTTGGTTCACAGTGAAACGTTGATGGGTATAGTCACAAGTGCACATTACGCAACAGTAGATCCTATCGTGGATGCCACCCCATCGAGGTTGGCATTAAACGAGCTCTTGCGGATTCAGCTGTGTACCCTCGAGACTTTGGGCTGGCAGTGGCAGATCTTCTACCAAGTCGAGGTGGAAGACCGGAGTCCGACCAGGTGGATTCTGAGGGCTTCCCTGCTGGGGAAGACTTGGGGGCATTAGATGATTTACTCCGGGGGAAAGAAAACACATGGTGGAGGAAACAATAATCCTTTACCTACAGGATGGGTGATGGATCATGGACCTCTAAACCTGAGGAAACTTAAGTCATGTGAGGCTTGTTTCAATTGGTTCTTGCACCCATCCTCCAATAGTGATAAAGATAAAGTACAAGCCGATGTGGGGAAAGGGGCAGGTCTCTGCGAGAGTGTGCAGCCACTGGCTTTGTGATGTGTACTTTGAAACGTATACTTCACAATCTTCGAACATTATCTTATGCATGTTGTCCGCAGCTCTGGCACACTCACAATCTTTCACTTTTGGGAACCCACCTATGGCTCCTGTGAAAGACCGACGCAAAGACACGCTTGAGATGCTGGAGGAACTCAAGCATGAACGTATATGTTTGAGCTGTTACCTTGAGATGTTTACAGAATATCTTTCTGTGACCCTGGGTGCCAATTCATTGTATTGTTCTTCAAATGAATGTTGCTGGTGGTTCATTCGTGAATGATAGTCTTTTTGTTTCTCCCTCCGACAGCCTTTGCTTGTGAGGAACGAGGCAAAGGATCTTCGTGTGATCTCCAAAGACTGTAAATGCGACTTCGAATCTTATATATCTTGGAAGGCTGAGATGGCACACCAGCGTGAGCTAGCGGCGTCTGCGTAGTGTGTAGGTTAGTGAATGGGTCTTGGTACAAACGAATGGATGAAACTGGCGCACGGATCATTTCCCCAAGAATTAGAGGTGTGACAATCTACAATGTTGGAAAGGTGCCACTGGGAATTGATAGATTTGTTTCACAACCCATTGGGGCAGGAACCACGGGACGCCTGGACCCTTTCTTGAAACTTGCTCCCCGAGCCCCGGACTTGGCTTGGGCTGCTCCACCTTCGAGGACCTATGACTGTGGCAAAAAAAATGTCACTTAGTGCGTGTCACTGCGTGTCATACGCGTGTCACTGGAGGTAGCGAGGGGTGCTAATTGGCCACCCCTTATAGAACGTGTCATGGAAGGGGCTACCAATTAGCACCCCTTAGCAGCGTGTCAGCTAGTCACTTACATGCTGAGAACGTGTCATTCCCGTGTCACAAATTCACAACTTTGGAAAAAATTCCCGGTCCGAAGGATTGTCTTGGTTCGGGGATCTTGGGGCTGGACTGTTCTACAAAGCCATGGCCAGATCTTCAGGCAAACTGTCTGAAGGTGAAAGGATCCGGCGTGAAAAAAGCTGCGCCAGCTCCACCCACAGCAGCCCAAGTGGACTTTGAAAGGAAGAAGCAAGCGCTTATCAAACAAGTAGAAGAGGATGAGAGAAGAGCAAAGAAGAGAGAGAGTGAGAGCAACAGCTCATCGCCTGTTGCTGGCACCAACGGCAAAAGTGAGAAGAAGCAGAATGATTCAGGCAGCAGCCCATCCACAGCTGTTCCCAAAGAAGGCAAGGAGAAGAAGGAGAAAAAGGAGAAG